CTTAATTTTTCCTCTACAAAATAAATGTTTTTTTTTTTTAAGGCCCAATTCTCTTGTTCTAGGTGTCTCTCAGTTTTCCTTCTTAATCTCTAACCTTATCTTACACTTAAGAGACTAATTTCTTGCCAGCAATCCACTTCTATCTGATATACTTTTTCTACTCAGTCAAAATGGCTTATTGAACTTTTAATGGGGACATTTGAATAACAGTAATGGTGTGTGTTGACAGTATAGACTAAGGCATAATGAGTTTAATTTTGATGTTTGTGCATATGACATAGGTGAAATTTACCCCTCTCTGTTACTTCATCACCCTGTGTTAGGCCCTAGAGTCCAGAGCAAGACAGTCTCTGCTGTCAGGATGCTAACTCATTTACTAGGGAAGTCAAACACTAGCCAGACCTTTACTAGTGTAACCTGTAATAAATGAAGAACTGACCACAACGTATACTCCATGGTGGAGAATATAGGAGACTTGGGAGAGGCATTGAGCAAACAGATGAATTAAAGGCTGAGTTTACAAACAGGTCATGATAAAGATGGTATCTGGGTGAGTTCCTGTCAGGGGATGCAGCATGAAAAACCTTGGTGGGAGAAACTTGAGTGTGATAGGTTTCTTCGGGATTAAGATAACTCATAATTTTGGAACAGAATAAAATGGCTACAATAAGACTGGGGTTGTATATCTAGAGGCCTGGTGTATAGGATTGATAAGACTTTTTAAATGATTTTAGACTTTAGCCAAAGGGTTATGGGAACTTATGTGTGATAACCATAGGGCTGTGCCACTCAGATGTCTAGTGATAAGGAATGAAATTAATCATCCCAGGGCCAAGTAGCTAGCTACTCAGAATCAAGCTGTTTGCTATAAGGCTTGCACAGAAGCTGCAGCCAGTGATGTTACCAAGGAGTGCAAGCACTTCCCTGTGTCCTCATCTTATTTTTCTTTGACATAGTGAAACTCTGGGTACTTTTACTCACCTTCCTTTCCTTTCTCCTTTACTTGGAACCAGGCTTGTGCCATGGGTTGACAGCTCTCCTGGCCTCTTCTGACTGCCTCTTCCTGTTCTCTCCATGAGCTCATTTTTCTAGTAGTGTCCTTGAATATTTACTTGTGTTTGGCCGTGTAGGATCTGGCTGATATATTTTAAGAGAGGCATTTTTAATTGGGGCATGTTAGATAGGTCATCCTGAAGAGTAAGGGAAGGATGAAGCATGTCCTATGCAGTATATTTGAAGGATTTCCATACTAGGCTAACATGTTGACACAGCATGGAAAGATTGAGAGCAAGCAAAAGCAACAGGGGCTTATGATATCTTCTTCTCTCTCATGGCCCCTTCTATTTTTATGGCTTGCAGACAGACAGACAGATACACACACACACACACACACACACACACACACTTACACATTCACACAGATGTAAATCTAGTGTCTGTATATAAAAGAAAAATGTGGTTTGTCTTTCTGAGTCTGACTTGTTTCATTTAACATAATGGCTTCCAATTGCATCCATTTTCTTACAAATGTCATGATCTCATTTTTATTTATAACTGTACCACATCATACTCCTTTTGACTTGTTTCCTTCTCTTATTCTTCACAGCTTGTTTTGTCTTTGTTTTTAACTCCTTTCTGTTCACTTTAAACATTACCTGCCAGTTCCTCCACTCATTCACTGGAGATAAACTTTAGTAAATAAAAGTCCTGTGACTTATCCAAGAGGTAAGCCAAAGACCCCAGTGAAAAGAGAATAGTAAGGGTAAGCCCAAAATTCTTTAAGGTTAGAATCCTGTTGGGAATTCTATTTAGACGGTGAGTCATCCAAAGATGGGCAGCAGTAGAGAGGAGGTTTGTTTTGGTACTCATGTGTGGAAGGGCTATGGCTTCATGCCATTTGGGAGGGAACCTATTGTTTAAGACTGATATACTGTAGGGACCTGATGACAAGGAACACTCATAAGCTAGGGAGTCTAAAAAGTAACTGATGTAGCCCCTGATTGAGGGATGACTTCATGATGATTTCACTACTGGAGGAGGGCTGAATGTAAATACTTGGAAAGTTCAGGTGGTGGGAAGGTTGGGTAGTAAGAGATCATTAGTCAGTAGCTACCCCCTCTTTGATAGAGAAAAAGAACAATTGCTTTGAAAACTGCCTATCCCTGGGCCAGAGGTTAGCAAAACTGTTTGGGATGGTTTGAATGATAGTGGCCCCCATAGTCTATGTTTAAACACTAGTGTTCCAGCTGGTGGAACTGTTTGAGAAGGATTATGAGATGTAGCCTTTTTGGAAGAGAAGTGTCCCTGGAGGTGGGCTTGATGTTTGAAAAGATTTGCACCATTCCTAGTGTCTGTCTTGACTTCCTTGTAGTTTAAGCCCTCAGCAGCCATTCCTTTGCTCTGCCAACATAGACTTCAACCCTCTGAAACTGTAAGCCCAATTAAATGCTTTCTTTTGTAAGTTGCCTTAGCCATGGTGTTATATCACAGCAATAGAAAAGTAACTGAGACACTGCTTGAACTCATCAGGAAGCCATCTGGTTTTCTAATAACAGGACTGAGAACTCTAAAGCTCGGGTTTATTATACAATACCCACAGCATCCTTCCTCCTGTAGGAAAGGATCAGAAAGCATTGAGACACATCCTCCAGTAATAGATCTCAGAATTCACCTGCCCCTCCCATACCCCAACTCACTGGAGATAGAACCCCCACCTTCAACTTCAACCATCTCAATTTATACAAACTAAGGAGTCTCTGGCATGAATGACAGACAGCCTGCTTGGTCCATAGGCTGAAAAGCTAAGGGTAGTCAGAAGTGGCTCCTGGTATACTACATTAGTTACTTTTCTCGTCGCTAAGACCAAATAGCCAACTTAATCGAGAAGAATCATGGTTTAATGTCATAGTCCATTATGGCAGGAAGGTATGATGGCAGGTGTGAGGCTGCTTGCTTTAATCTGGGAGATGAGGATACATAACCAGCAAAATGCAGGTATGCAGCTGAATCTCTCTTTTTTCCCTTTTTTGTTCCAGTCCAGGGTATTTGCACCCATCAAGACTATCTCTCTTCATAACTCTATTTTCCTCACGTGTAGGATAAAGGTGTTCAACAGACTTCTGGTAGTCATTTAAGGACACCCAAAAAAGTTCTGTGAAAATATTGTAACTCTGCTTTTTAAAATGTGGCAGCCTGGACCTTGGCATGTGTGAAAATCAGCTTTGAGACATTACATGGAATTGGGGCAAAAAAAAGTTCTCATTTATTGTCCTGTTATACAAATCTGGCTCAAAGTCTTGCTTTTTATTACAACTATTCTTTGCTCTAATGCTTCTCTCTCCCTGTGGGAAATAGAATAGCTATTAATATGTCAGCTTTTACATTCTTCTGGATGAACATAGAAAGGTATCCTTGCCTGAGTGAATTGTGAATATTTGATAATTCCAGTAGTCAGGAAGAATTCAAGGAGAAATAATGGAAAGTTGATCTCATTCTATTTCATTTTTAAAAAGATTTTAGTTTAAATTATGTGTGTGTATCTGTGTGGGCATGAGTATGTGAGTCCTCTGCAGGAGCAGTGTGCACGCTTAACTACTGAGCCATCTCTCCAGCCCATCATTCTATTTCTCATGTTATTACTTTATTTTGTATTGTTGGTCCTGTGAACTTAGCCTAGAGCCTCGTGCATGCTGGGCAGGTACTTACTACTAAATTTCTTTTCATATTTTAGTTCAAGATAGAGTTTCTCTGTATAGACCAGACTGGCCTCAAAAATATAGATTCGCCTGCCTCTAAGTGATGGGATTAAAGGTATGTGGAACCCTACCTGGCTTACTTTGTTTCTTAATAGGTTGTTAATTAGGTGGTTTTGTGTATGGTTAATAAATACTGAATATGTCTTTCAACAAGAAATTTGACAATGATTTGCATTAGATTTTATGAACATGGTAAAAGTATTGTCATGAATGCAGGGACAGATTAATAACTGATATGGGAGAAGAAAAATTAAGAGCCATTGTGGGGTCTGTGTGTGTGTGTGTGTGTGTGTGTGTGTGTGTGTGTGTGTTAGAGAACTAACAGTAGTTAGCTGTGAATATGGAGTTATACTCTGATATAAAACAGGATGATCTGAACATCTGTCTTAGCGTTTCTATTGCTGTAAAGAGACACTATGATCACACTTATAGAGGAAAATATTTAATTGTGGTAGCTCGCTTATAGTTCAGAGATTCAGTCCATTATCATCATGATAGGACATGGTGGCATGCAGGCAGACATGGTGCTGGAGAAGGAGCTGAGATATCTGCATCTTGATCCACAGGCAAAGGAAGGGAACTGTGTCCTGCACTGGTTGTAACTTGAGCATATGAGACCTCAAAGCCCACCCTAGCAGTGATATACTTCCTCCAACAAGACCACACCTTTTAATAGTTCCACCTCATATAGGTTAAGCATTCAAACACATGAGTCTGTGGGGCCATACTTATTCAAACTACCACAACATTGAAAGAAAATGGGCCCCCAAAGGGAGTGGCACTATTAGGAGGTATGGTCTTGTTGGAGTAGTATGGTCTTATTAGAGGAAGTGTGTGACTGAGGAGGTGGATTTTGAGGTTTCATACATGCTCAAACCACTCCCAGTAAAAGACTACTTCCTGTTGCCTGCAAGATATAGGACTCTTAGCTGCTTCCCCAGCACCATGTCTGCCTGCATGCTGCCATGTCCCATCATGATGATAATGGACTGAATCTCTGAACTATAAGTGAGCCACCACAATTAAATATTTTCTTTTATAAGAGTTGCCATGGTCATAGTGTCTCTTCATAGCAATAGAAACCCTAACTAAGACATGGCTACTTTGGAGTTAGCAGGTCCATTCATCTCCAGAAACGATCACCAAGGAATGGAGAAAGAGGCTGAGTTGGGGTGTGAAGGTTGCTTCTCATATTAGAAAATATGATTGTTTTTACTTTAGTTTATGTTGATTTTTACAAAGACTGCCCCCAAGCCTTCCGCATCTTTTACTTGGTCAGATGACAACCAAACCATCCCTTGAAAGAAGAGACATAAGGGACAGAAATGGAGGGAAGAGAGATGTGGATGAAAGATGAGACTCAGCCTAATTCATATTCAGTCCTTACCAGCTTTGAGTACCTCGAAGAGAAGAAGGTGAGTCACAAGGCCTGTTCTCAGAACAACAGTTGTTCTGGAAAGAATGAAGGCTGTAGTAGCTTCACATTTTTCTGATTTGGTGTTTGGAGAGACAGCTAAGGGTGTGTGTGTGTGGGTGGGGTGGGAGACAGACAGACAGACAGAGACAGAGGTATTTCCCCAGCTGCACAGCTAATGCTTAAATGTGGTTTTGTAGCAGCTGACAGCAGCCTGTCACACATTTAGGGCTATAAATCCCCCTTCCAATTGAATCACGGGAATTAAGCAATAATGCATGTAAGAAAAGCTATCAAGTCAGTAGCTGAAAGATGAAATGTGAACATATTGTCAAAATGACTTTGAACGAAAGCTTGCAGAAAGGGGCCAGGGAGGAGTGGGACCCATATGAAGGCTCACAGGTGGAAATAATAGCTAACAAAAATGGGTAATACACAACTCTGAACTTATTGACTACCTAGGCCATTTTTGTATGCTGTCATAAAACACCAAAATGAAGACAACTTATAGAAGAAAGAGTTTATTTGGACTTACAGATCCAGAGGGACAAGAGTCCACCATGGCAAGTAAGCATGCTGGTAAGCCTCAGGCATGGTGCCGGGAGCAGGAAGGAGAGAGCACATCTGTTGCCACAAGTAGGAAGCCAACAGAGCAAACTGAAGTGGGGCACAGTTATGAACTCTCCAGCAATATACTTCCTTCAGCAAAACTGTACATCCTAAACCTCCTCAAACAGTGCCACCCACAGGGGACCACGTGTGAAAACACCTGAGCCTATGGGGGACATTTCTTACTAAAATCACAATGTTATTTTAAAGTAAAATAGAAGTAAAACTTTAGTAGGAGTAATGACTCCTGATTCTCACAGTAGTACTTCAAGACAGTCTAGTTTGTCCACACTGCAGTCTGCTTTAAGTCTATGAATCTGCATTTCAAGGCAACATTGCTTTGCTGTTTTCTCACCATGTGCCTTTACCTGGTCTTCTCATAGAGGAGAATCCCATACAGAGAGTTCCTTTGTAGGTTTGAATGACAGCTGTTCAGAGTGGCTTGAAACCCTAGGATCTCTCTCCTGGGTGGTGGTTGTGGTGGGTGGTGGTGTCTCCTCAGTGCATTCAGATTCTGCTGTTGAACTGCAAATATGTGAACAATCATTGTAGCTCCTTGGCTTAACTGGGCATTTATTTACTTATGGAAGTATGCAGGTATGTATATATGTGCATATTCAGGTAAGGTTTTTTTTATATTAGACCACTCAAAACAGTAAAGTGTGTTTTGTTAACCATTGTTAGAAACTAGCTACTAGGAGCTTATGAATACAGGGAAAGTTTTTGTACTTTGAACATCACCCTAGTAAAATTTTCTAAAAGTCAGACTGAGTGGATGCATAGGGTGTCTGCTGTTTTGAGAAAAAAAATTCTCAATATGTTATTTGTTCATTGATGATTTTAAAACAAAACAAAATGTAACAAGCCATTGATGAATTCACCACAATTTCTTAATCTAAACTTGGTGGCAGGAGCAATATAACCCTGGGAAAAATAGAAAATCCAGATCCTCAACATTCCATCCTTTGAGGTATATGTTTGGTCCCAGGAGCTGCAAATGTACTTAAAACATGGAGGGAGGGAGGGGGAAAGGAGTAAGGAGAGAGAGGCGGGGGAGGGAGAGAGGGAGGGAGGGAGGGGGCAAGAGAGAGACTATATTGTGCAGTTCTCCCTCATGAACTCTAGATGACATGGGTCATATTGCAATGTCAGAAGTTTGGACATGCCTGCATGATGAGTGTAGCCTGTCAATGTGGGACACAGATGTCTGCCTGTTCACTTTCTCTAGCCTCTGGTGCGGGCATTTATACTTGTACCTTTGTGCCTCACACAGTGTCTAGCACAGGGTAAGTACTTAATTAGTCCATTCACTTTTTGATACTGCATTGGCTGACTTGCCCAAGCTCTCACCTGGGATACAGCCTAACTGCAACCGGGTTTTATTTGTTCAGAGAAGAATACACTTCCTTTGAGCCTCTTCAGTGTGGCAGCATCAAACAAATCCTAATTCTGGAAGAAAAGAAGACCTACTTAATTGCTGTACAAAGGTGGTTTTCAGTCCTGTTGTTGGGTACAGCTGTCCTGCCGGATTAAGTGACAATCTGTCTGGAGTTGGCTGCAAACCCGGTTCTGCCTCTAGTGGTTCAGTAGGTGGCACTGCTGCTCTCTCTGTGTGCTTAAGGTGGCTGCCTTGCAGAGGCTGTGTTTGGGCAGGCAAGCAACTCAGTAGCCTTTTAAGGCAAGTGGCAGCACAAACCCAATATCAGTTGTGATGGCAGCAGCCACTGTTATCTGCCCCTGCTTGTAGGATGGTTTAGAGGATGGGCCTTGGAGTCAAACAGTGAGGTTGGAGATGTCAAAACAGGAAGGGACCTGAGGGAACTAAAATAAGTAGTTTACAAATCAGATGTCTGGTTTCCTGCAAATAGTAGCTAGGAAGCTGAGCTAGCAGGCAGGCTCCTCACTTGAAAAATCTTAACCAGAATGCCAGTTTACTTAGGACTCATCTTGGAGCCAAGCTAGTAAAAATCTTTTAGACTATCATGAGTTGGTTCAGAATTTTGTCTTGTGGTCACTTTAATTTCCAGTGTTTTGTTTTCTTCATGATATAAGTGTGTTAGGCCTTATATGTCAGTGCCTCTGCTTGGTATGTAGTCACTGTAGTCCTTATTTCCTCAGTTGATGTTAAGCACTAAATGCTCGATTCCCTGCTAAATTTCTAATTTTGTAATCTGTACCTCTAAGATGCTGGTACCAGAGGATGGAACACTTGGGAAGGAGTGAAATCATGAAGATAGAACCCTAATACATGGAGCTAGTATCCTTATTGAAGGAGACCCCTGTGAGCTCCCTAGTCCCTTCTGTGTGATGTTACAAAGAGAAGAAGGCTGTTGGCAAAGTGAGCCCTGGCCAGACAATGAATCTTCCAGGATATTGGCAGTAGTCTTCCTGGACCCCAGAACTGTGAGCAATATTTTTTGGTTTGTTTATAATGCACACAATCACTGGTATTTTTCCTACAGTAGCCCCAAGTGGCAAGAACAACAGTATGGTTTCCTTTTTTCTATCTTATTCAAACTTCTACCAAACTCATTTATGAAGTGATAGAAAAGTATGAGCTAATGGAATCTAGGTTTTGCTAGTAACTTAGTTTGTGGAATAATTATCTGCCTTATTAACAAATATGTTTCTTTAAATTTAAGTGAATACAGAGCAATTGCAGGGATGCTCTACTTGTCAGTCATTGCAATTGAGTTTGACAGATTCTTGGCATGTATGTTACTGCACTGTTTCTTTCTATAATAGGCACTATTAACTTATCATGGTACACATTCCTCCTAAACCTCCTGGGTCCTCAGACTCATTGCTAGATTTCACTAACAGCATTATTTCCATCGTAATAGGTCATGATAAAGTTCAAAATCTTAGCTAAATTAATGAAACACATGCTCCTAGTTGGTTCTTCGAGAAATAGAAACTCAGGCCAATATAACGAACCATTTAATCTCTGAGTTCAAAGAAAGCATGAGGAATTATCAGAATTTTAGGATGATGAAATTGATATTCAAAAGACAAGCTTAGTGGTACTCACATGTAATCTTAGCACTTGGGAAGACAGAGCTGGGAGGATAACTGTAAATATGTGAGGGAGGGAGGGAGGGAGGGAGGGAGGGAGGGAGGAGGGGAAGAAGAGAGAAAGAAAGAGACATGCTGGCTTGGAATTCTGTGTGACTTCTTGCATGGGTAGAACTGATTGATGAAAAAAGAGAAATGAAATGACCTTCAGACTAGTTTTATCCTTCACTTGACTGAGAGGCCAAGGAGCTCATCAAAGGGTCCTACAGTTTCATGCAGCACCAAGAACAACAAAAAAAAAAAAAAACAAAAAACAAAAAACAAAAAAAACAGGAGTTTAGAGACAGCACATGGTTTAGGATCCAGACAGCAACATTCCAGGCTTTTAATTGGGACCCTAAAATGACTTCACCATAGGAGACAGACAGCTATGAGGGGCCCAGCTTCAGGCCCCTCAATTTATGACTGGTCAGGGTGAACTGCTCACCTTAACTGTCTGTTGGTTCACACTCCCTAAGATTTTTTTTAATGGAAAATGCTCCGAAACCAAATAAATTTTTTCCGTATACTTATAGGCAAAGTGTTGAAAACCAAAATAAAATTTCTCAAGCAATCAGATGTTGTAATAATTAGGCATGGCTTTTAAATAACTGTGCTCAGTACATTCAATTAGACAGTTAAACAAAAAACCTACAACTTAAGTCAAGTGGAATATCTACAACCAGAAACTATGATAAATAAAATTAAGAGATGAAAGGATTGTAGAACAATGGTTTAGATAATAGGTAATGAACAAGGGGCCCTGAGTTAATTGGATGATGAATCAGAAGATAGGAAAAAGGTATTAAGTGGAGTTTAAATGTCCTAAGGCGTTATTTGGAGCAGGAAGTTGCAAAGGCAGCACTGTTCATTAGACATTAATAAATCAAAGATGAATGTTGAAATCCCTATGGTAACCCCAAAAGCATAATGGAAATCTATTATGAAGAATAGTTAACAGAGAAGGAGTGAGACAATAAAAATAATATAAGATGGTGGTTTAAAAGAACATAATGAAAGTTGAAATGCAAAACAGGTGGGACAGCTATACAACAAACAAGCTAGTAATTTAATTATATATATTAAGCATAAATGAATAAAAAATCTAGTAGACAAAGATTGTTGGACTGTATAAAGTTGTATGTTTATAGAAGTTGTAAATTAAAAGAATACAGAAAATTGAAAGCAGAAGAGTATAAAGTGTTTATGCATATAAATATTAACCATAAGAAACTCACTATGTACATTTATATCAGACAAAGTAGACATTAAGGCAACAAACAGTACTAATTGTAAGAAAGGATATTTTATAATAAAATGATAACTTCAATGCAAAGTTATCACAACTATAAATTCATATATATTTAGTAATATGTAAGATAATATTTAATAAGACAAAATGGTTAAATATGAAAATCTAAAATAATAGTAGGAACTTTGACTCAGAACAAGTGGCCAAATGAATTAATGAAGCCAAAGATTTGAGGAGCATATTTTAGAGCAGTGGTTTCCAATTGTGGGTTGAGGACCCTCTTGGGGTGTGGTTGAACAGCCTTTATAGGGGTCACATGTCAGATATCCTGCATATCAGATATTTACATTATAATTCATAACAGTAGCAAAGTTACAGTTCGGAAGTAGCAATGAAAAAATATTATGGTTGGGGTCATGACAGCATGAGGAATTAAGTTAAAGGGTTGCAGCATTAGGAAGGTTTAGAACCACTGGCTGAGAGAGTCCTATCCATGCAGCACCTCATGTGGTGCAGTTGCTAAAACGAACTATGTGCCAGACTATGATTTAAATCATACAGTGTATCGTTGATGAGTATAGCAGCATTAATCCGTAATTAAAAGATAATATAAACATTTCAAATGTTTTGTGTTCTTGAAATAGCTTAAAAGAGAAGGGAAAATATTTTGATGTGATATATTGATTAAAAGTGGTGAGTTATACTTAAAACCGTCCTTGAGAAGTCTTAAATGTCTGTTCTAGGAAGGAGGAAAGGGCAGGAAGATAGGAATCAATGAAGTTGACAAACCAGAAATGAGGATTTAGTGCGTGCAGTGGGAGAAGACTTGTCTAGGGTGGTGGTTTGAATGGGAATGGCCTCCATTGGGCCATAGACTTGAATGTTTTGTTCCCTCTGTTGAAGCTGTTTGGGAAGGGTTAGAAAGTGTTGTCTTGCTGGAGGAGGTGTATCACTACTGGTGGGCTTTGAAGTTTCACAATCCCACCCCATTCCCAGTGTATCTTTCTCTGCCTTGTGCTTTTAGCTACTGCTGTAGCCTGCTGCCTGCTGCCTGCTGCCTGCTGCCTGCTGCCTGCTGCCTGCTGCCAAGGTCAGTGGATTTACCCTCTGAAACTGTAAACGCCCAATAAATCCTTTTCTTCTATAAGTTGACTTAGTCATCGTATCTTATCACCTGCCCTGCATCTGTCTTGTATAAGACCTTGGGTTCAGTCCCTAGCACTGAGAAAAAAAGAAACCAAGTAAGTTACACATCAAGATACAGACACAAATTGATGAGCTAGAAAGCAAATGTACAACAGAGGAAATGAAATATAGCAAACTAACAGTTTGGTTGTTTTGGGAACAATGTACTGTGGGTGATGATTGTCTGATGGTGATAAAAGATCCGGAAGAGGCAAACATCACTGCATGAAATGGGGGCGAAATTTTAAACATTAAGAGCATAGCATAAATCTATCCCTATTTGTTTTAATAAACATGAACTTTGAAAATTGAACTTTGTTCAATTTCCTTAGAAAGAGAACAAATAACAAGGGGCACACACACAAACTGGAAAGCTTTAGAAATCTCAATCCTGATTTGAATCTTTATAGTACTCCAGGCCCAGACAGGTTAACTAAAGAATCCTTCCAAATAATTAGGAAAAGAGGAACACATAACGCACAGTCCTTCCCTCTAAAATACAAAAACAAGACAAGCTTTCTAACTTGTAATAACAAAAGCATTCTAAGAGAAGAAAATTATAGATAATCTCCCTTGAACATAAATACAAGGTTGCTAAGCAAAACATTAGCCAACTAGTTGCATTAAAGGAGTATTACTTCTTGACCAAGTTGACTTCAATCCAAAGACGTAAAAGTAGATAAATAATTGAAAAACAATCACTGGAATATATCACAGAAGAAAAATAGAAGACAATTACAATTGAAGAGAAAACATATCTAATCTTGAAAAATACTAGAAAAAAAGCAGGAACAAGAAGTTATAACTTTAATCTTATAAAATATTTATAGAAATTATACAGCAAACATCCATCTAATAGCAAAATATAAAATTTCACTTGAAATTAGAGACAAGCAGAGGTCTGCTGTGGTGATACGTTGTTTGTGATCTAACAGATAAAGCTTGCATGGAGATCAGAGTACAGAGCTAGCTGCACTAGCTAGCCATAAATGCCAGGCAGTGGTGCACACACCTTTTAATCCCAGCACTCAGGAGGCAAAGGCAGGTGGATCTCTGTGAGTTCAAGGCCACCCTGGGCTACAAGATTCAGTCTAAAAGAGAAACAGAGCCAGGTGGTGGTGGCTCACATCTTTAATCCCAGTACTTGGGAGTCACATGCTTTTAATCCCAGCCCTAGGGAGGTGGAGACAGGAGTGATATGGCTTCAGGGAGAGAGGAATATAAGGCAGTAGGAGACATGGGCTCATGGCATTCAGTCTGAGGGTTCATAGGGACAGATTGCCTCTTTGGTGTGAGGATTCAGTAGAAGTAAGAGGTCTCTCTTGTGGCTGGCTCCTTTACTTCTCTGACCTTTCAACATTTACTTTGATATCTGACTCTGGGGTTTATTATTAAGACCTATTACAACTCGTGCTAGTCTGCCATCACCTATATTATCAGATTCTCATAAAAAAATCCTTCTTATTCAAGACAAATTTTAAAAGCTCAGGAGAGGCAGGGAACCCTACAGAAGAGGGGAAGGAAGGATTGTAGGAGTCGGGTTGAGAATACCACAAGAACACGACTCATAGAATCAACTAAGCAGGGCTCATATGGGCTCACAGAGACTGAAGCAACAATCAGAGAGCCTGCGTGGGTCTATGCTAGGTTCTTTGTATACATGTTATGGTTGTGTAGCTTGGTGTTCTTGTGGGACTCCTAACAGTGGGAAAGGGGGTGTCTCTGACTTTTGCCTGCTCTTAGGACCCTTTTCCTTCCACTGAGTTGCCTCATCCAGCCTTGATGTGAGGGTCTGTGCCGAGTCTTATTATAACTTGTTATGCTGCATTTGGTTGATATCTCTGGGAGGCCTGCTCTTTTCTGGAGGGAAACAGAGGAGGAGTGCATCTGGGAAAGAGGGGAGGTGGTGGTG